ATCCACGATCTCGACTCACGAGATTTGAACCCATGACCTATCAGTCTCGCCCGAGATCGCTTAACCTCTAGACAAATGATCAATTGTAGTCCTAAATACCAATGGAAAAATATTAAAAAAAACAATACAAATGAGCTTTATATATTGTTATTTTAAAACTTATTTAACCCTATTTGATCTGATTACCATGTTGAACTTATTATTATTATTATAGAGGTTGTGGAGATTATCATGTTTTTGATTGAGATCATGAACCGATTGATGTTAGACCACCATTAAAACCCTGGGAGCACTGAACGGCCGTTTCGCTCTATTGTGGAACTGTTCAACACTGTGCATCCACGATCCCGCTCACGGGATTCGAACCCAAGGTTTTCAGTTTCACGCGCGAACGCTTAACCTACTGAACCACTGAGACGGTATCCAATGGTGTAAATGTCCAAACTCGACCAATCCATGAAATTTCGCGACAATCATCCATTGTACTGAAGTAGATACCTGTCTCTACCCGACAAGGACTAGCTCCACTTGTCACAACATTTGGACGAAACGGATGTCCAGTTCATTGAGGTTTTCAACGGTGTTCTAACATCAATCGGTTCATGATCTTAATCAAAAATATCTTATTGTTCTTACCTTTATTTAGTTTCTCGTTCTCATGTTATAGTTTTCACCTATAATCAATAATGACCCAATCGATTTCATTAACTTATTAACCAATTAAATTATATATGTAATACATTTATTACTTTAAAAAATTGGCTAAATAATCAAAACTGTTATAAAATTTAATTAAAACTGTAAATTAATGATCATCATTTCTTCTATTATAATCTACCCTGTGAAAATGATGCCAATAATTAGATTTCCGGAAGTTTCATTTAATTAGATTAACTAAAACTTTAGATTAGAGAAGTGCAAAGCATGTTAAAGTATTCAATGCTTATTATCAAATTGTGTTATCATGATATCAAGGTCATTTGTACATTACGAAAAAAGAGACAAAACAGCAAGAGAACAGTATTTAACATGTAAATAAGTGAAGAGAATGTTTGTAGATATTATAATGAATTTAATAGTTGAATTCATGACTTATGACTAGTGGACTTCAAACAGGTCTATTGTGAGACAGTAACTGACTGATGACAATGGTGGACAATGGTAATAACTTTGTGGATTAATTAAAGTTAGACGTTGATACCGTTGGATGCTGGCTCAGTGGTGTAGAGGTTGTGTTCGCGCGTGTATCTGATACGTTTTTGGTTGGAATCTCACGAGGCGGGATCGTGAATGATTACTGTTGAGGAATCCCACACTCGAACTAAACGGCCATCTATTACTTCCAGATTTTCCATAGTGATCTAGCTTTAATTGACTCATGAATTCAACTATTAAACGATAATCATTGTTTGCAAGTATACTACCGTAAAATTACCTAATACCTTTGAAATACTGATATAGAAGCTGGATGTTCGATTTAGTTTATCGATTTTTATAATGAAAACTATTATGTAAAGCTATGCATAAGTCTAAGGATTAGTTACTCAAATACTTTTTTGTTGACGTACTGAAAATACTTACAAAAGTATACGGAATCATTTTTGGAGATATTTTACATGATCTAGAAATGGATTTGATGTATGATTTCAAGAAGAATAGATCCACAATCACGATGACAATTCACTGTGTTCAGCATATTTTTACACTTAAAATGGAAAAATCAATTATATGCATAAACAAAATAAGCCACATAAGAGCGTTATATATGTTCATGTTTTTACAGAATTCAATAAAAGATTCTTATGAATTACTATTTTGATTGTTAACATTCCAACAAATATGTTCAGATCTATATTGCTATGGTAACCGGTAGAGTAGTCTAGCTTACTACAAAGTTGATGGAGTTTATTTTGTTAATTCTCTAAACAATTAAGTATTCATAGACGAAATCTGGTGGATTTAGTTAGATAAAAAGAAATTACTTTTCATTAAAACACACACTCTGAATTAGTGACATCCATCGATAATTTTAAAGTTATGAATAACATTAAAACAAACGCATACAATTTCAAGCTAGATTTATAAGTAATGTACAACAAACGATCAATAACTGCTTATGAGAACATGAGTATCGTGACTAACAGAACAATCCAGAATGCAGATCTTGTCCTATCTAGATCATACCAGCTGAACATACCTTTCTCACGGCATTATTAATAACAACGGGACTCATCCAGTAACTTTTTTCTACAAACGCTCAATATATTGTTCACCAAGCAACTGATCGAATTTCAATTCCTAATATTATCGACCGGATAACTTAATGCCTTCTTAATAAGTGTGCTAAACATCATACATGATGATCACGTTTGAAATAGAATGAATTCATTGTATTCTGCAAATCTTATTCAACAATGTTGCGATTTGTTAAGATTAGTGTTAAATATTATTATTTAAGAATAGAATGTTTATTACAATAAAACATAAATGATCATACAAAGTGGACATAATCTATGACAGAATGACTGATTGAACTGAAAAGCTGTAATGTAAAATATGTCGACTGAGTATTCTAAAAGAGTTAAACATTTGCTCACGAGACTGGAGTACTTGGGTTCGAGTTCCTTGTGCGGGATCATGGATGTGCACTGCTGAGGAGTCTCATACTAAGGCTAAACTGCTTTCAGCTTTTCAAAAGTCTTTTCTTATATTTGACTTAAAATATATAAGTTTAAATAATTAGAACTGTTTTGTTTTATTGTGATCTGATTGAGTCATTTTAACAACGTAAATTTTAAGCACCTATTGGATGAAGAATCAAGATTCAATTAATGTTTAATGTGAAAGAATTCACTGTTATGATTCCACAATGTAATAAATCTTATCAGTATGGGAATTTTTGGTGATAGTTCTATTTTAACAGTTGAATTCACGAGCCAATTATGGATCGATTGGAGCTAGACATAAACATCGTTCGATACTGGTTCAGTGATCTACAGGTTGAGTTCGCCCGAGAAACCAAAGGTTCTGGGTTCTTGTCTTTCATGCGGAGTCGTGGATTCACACTGGTGATACTATTGAGGGAAACATAAAGCTCATAAGTGAAACATTGATGAATAACAGTTATTCATTGAAGTTTATAAACTGTTAGAAATTGGGCAATATTATGAGACCTGTATGTATTTCGTTAGTCTGAACGTTTACAAACTAAAGTGTACTGTATTAAATAGCCATGTAAGCTAGTTTACTTTCTCAGAAAAAAAATGCCAATCGACCATTAGTCTGAAATAATTTAGTGACTAGGTTAAATGTGTAATCTCATTTGATAATAAGCGTCTCGAATCAATTTATGATGCAATCTTTTCTATCCTTCTATCCTTCCTTTCCGTATAACGATAAATACGAATCTACAGCTTAAGTAAATAATCTCGACGAAAAGAAAATTTTCTTCGCCGAACTCTTTTTTATTTAATGACACAATGAGTTATTTTAATTAATGAAATCTAATTGAGATTATAAACCAATCCATGTTAGACAACCACTGAAAAACTGGAATTCTAGTATGGGACTCTTCAGCAGTTCATATGCCGATCTCGCACGCAGGATTTCATCCTAAAGCCTTCAATCTTGCGCAAATGTTTAATCCCTAAACCACTGAGCCGGGATCCAACAATAATAATATGTAACTTCAACCAATCCCCGAAGTTGAGTGACCAGCTTCCATTGTCTGAGGTAGATAACTACATCACATCCGAAACGGATTAGCTCCACTGACCATGGCTTCTCACTAGAACTCCAAGGATGCATTCACGAAGCTAGTCACTAGTGAAAATATACTAATTATCAGTATAGGGTTGTGAAGATTGCTAAGATTTTGATTGAGATCACTGAAAACCTAGAAACACTAGTCAACCTAGTATGAGACTCCTCAGCAGCACACGTAATTGATTTTATGAATATATATTCAATGTAAAGTTGTTTTTCTAAAAAAATTTTCAGGAAAAATATCAACTTTCTCAATATATATATATATATATATATATATATATATATATATATATATATATATATATATATATATATATATATATATATGAATTTTAATAGTTGAGAGCATGAGTCATTTGAAGCTAAACCGCCATGTAAAACCTGAAAACATTGGTGGATGTGTCACCCGATTTCGTGGATTAGTTGAAGTTAGAAATGCTGACCAATTTAGTGGTCTAGATATTAAGCGTTCACGCGCGAGACTGATAAGTCCTGGTTTCGAATTTCGTGAGGTGTGATCGTGGGTACGCACTGCTGAGGAGTCCTATATTAAGTTGAAACGACCGTCTAATGCTTTCAAATCTTCCACAGTGGTCTAACGTTAAATCGGCTCATGATCTCAACTGTTAAAATTATTATAATATTCACAAAAACCCCTTCTGATATAAATCAACATATGCACACTAGTGACTGACTTCAAGAGGTATTTCTTGGAGTTTTAATGAGAAGCAGTGACCAGTGGAGTTCAACCGGGTCTGTTGTGAGATAATTACTTACTGATGAAAATTGTTGGTGTCGCTCAATTTTGTAGATTAGTTAAAGTTGCACAGTAGCACCGTTAGATGCCGGCTCAATGGTTTAGAGGTAAGGCTTTCACATCTTCAGTTCGAATTTCGTACGACTTGATCATGGATGCGCACTACTGAAGAGTCCCACACAAAGACGAAACGGTCATCCATTTCTTCTAGGTTTCCTATAGTTATCTAGCTTCAAAATAACTCATGATCTCAACTATATGAATTAATAGATATGAAAATGAAAAGAATAAATTTGTCTAGTCAATCTTATTTATTCCTTGAATAAGATAAATATTTTATTAACCAATCAAAAAATTATCTCAAATAAATAATACCTTTTTTAATATTTTTCAATAGCCTATTAAAAAAGAGATTGAATCAGATTGTACATAAATCTTAACTATTAACAATTTAAATATTTTATATTGATAATAATGATAATAAAAACAATCTATTCAATATACATTTATCAACATCATCAACATCATCACTGTCAACATCACCATCACCATCATCAACATCAACATCAACATTAATTGAAGTGTAATACACATTACACATATTAGAATAACTATTAACTAAAAGTTAATCAAAGTATATTAGTCTACTTATATTTATAGAAAACGAGTAGTATCATCTATCAATAAATAAATAATTTGTTTATTTATTATTAAAGTCCATTATTATTATTATTATTATTATTATTATTACTATTTACAATAATTATTTTAATCATTCAAATGAATACATCATCAAAATCCGATAATTTTCTTGCACAATTTAAAGATATTAATTCAAATTCATTAAAATATTTTACTGCTGCACAATTTGTTGAAGTATGGAATCATTATGATACTGATGGTAAGTTATATTTTATTACAATAGTTAATGTCATGAGTGAATTAAAACTAGACTACCATGGAATACCTGGAAGCATTGGAAGGCTGTTAGGTTATAGTGTCAGACTCCTCAGCAGTGCGAACCCAGGACTTATTGGTCTCGCACTAGAAGTTAATTAATCAAGGGTGAGACCGATAGGTCTTGGGTTTGAATCTTGTGAGGCGAGATCGTAGATTTGTCTAACAATAGGATGACATAACATTCCAATGCTTCCAGGCTTTTAATAGTGGTCTAGCTTCAATTGATTCATGATCTCAACTATTGAAATTACTACAATCTCTACTAAATCTCTTCTGATATATTTTATTACTTAAGAAATAATGCGTACTACTGAAGTGTCTTATATTAGGACGAAACAGTTGTTTGATACTACTAGGTTTTCTATGGTAGTCAAACTTTAATTGACTCATGAATTCAACTATTAAACTTATAAAAATTGAATTTTGAGTTGTTATTACTATTATTGATTACTTTATTTAAATTTCTCAGCACAAAGTATTTCAACAAGTTTCCGTTTCTTACTTTCTGATTGATCTTGACGATAAATATTGAATGGTCGCTAGTTAGAAGTTACCAGTTTAGTTAACCGACATCTAAATAACATATATTCTTTTCGTTGCATTATAACAAAAACCACAATGTCTCGGATTAGGCACTTCTGTAACTTGTACAACGAAAGGTTGTACACTTTTCAGAAACACACCTGAATAGGTTATGCGACAAATTCATATAATGATCTATTGAAACAAATGTAAGATAGATAATTTGTTGAAATATCTAGATGTCAGGGACAAATAGCCCAGATATTCAAGCAACCCACCAATAAAAAACTATCATTTTTTTCTCTCTAAGATATGAATATTTAGGATTTATGAATGTAACACAAATATCATATAATGCTGAGTGAATTTAGTCAAAATAAAATTTTTTAGTAAACCTACTTACTCACTCTTGTTACTCCTCATCAAGGAGCGTAGGACGCCCATCAGCAACCCTATTCTGGGAAATTGATTCCAGCTCTTTCCAGTTGTTATTCATCCATTTCATATTTCGCGATGTAATGTGTTTTTCGGCCTTTCACTTTTCAAGCTTCCCTTCAGGATTGTAAGTTAGGGCTTGTCTTGTGATACAGTTTGATGATTTCCGTAATATATGTCCTATCTATTTCCATCGTCTTTTTCTAATTAACTCCTCAGCTAGAAGCTGGTTTGTTCTCTCCCAGAGTAGACTGTTGCTGATGGTACCTGGTCAATAGATGTTGAGTATCTTGCGTTGACAACTATTTATAAATACTTGTACCTTCTTGATGATGGTTGTAGTATTTCAGAAAACAGAAAGTATATGATCGTTATTTCGTTTTATCATAGGATTATCCTATAATATACACTGATTGTCTTACAAATGCTTCAGTTTATGATAAGAAAATAATTTGTTACTTCTTATCTTCCTTCATTCTTAATTGAATATGAACTCATGATTAATACTTTTTTCTTAAAAAATTAAGAAAGTGGTCACTTGTAACTTCAATAAACTTAACAGTATTACTTAATTTCGTAGAGTAATAAGCTAATCGAATAATTAGTAATATGAAAGACTTTAAGAATACGTAATGTTTTAGTATAATAATGTTAAACAAAAGTTTCTGAATCATATATATGTATATATAACAGGGACAGAATTCGATAGTGAATTCTAATGGGCGACCTTTGCTCCTCCATGAAGGGTAATAGGTGTAAGTATATATAAGTACTTATCAACAGTAACTCAGGTTGTGTTTTTTTTCTCTACCTGATTTGATTGTCTTCAAGGAAACCATAAATTTTCATTGATTGATACTCTAATTTTACCTTTATTCTTAGAAAAGTAGCTTCTACTTTATAGTTGTACTAATTATTACATTTCGTTATGAATATGTAGTTTTTTTTATAAGAACTGTCTGTACGTAAAATATCGAATTAGACTGTACTATTAAATGTAATTTATTAACTCTAACTGTTAAAATACCAAGTGATTTTTTAGTCTTTAACTAAGGTAAATACTTTGAAAACCAATTATTGTCTAGTGAGAAGCTGTGACCAGTGGAGTTCGACTAGGTTTTTTGTGAGATAGTAACTCACTGAAAACAATGGTGGATATGTCGCTCAATTTTGTGGATTAGTTGAAGTTATACAAGACCGATAATTCCTGGGTTAGAAGCACATAGGCAGGATCGTGGATGTGGACTGTTAAGGAGTCTCAATACTAAGACGAAACGGTCGTCCAGTGCTTCCAGGTTTTCTATGATGATCTAGCTTCAATTGACTCATGAATTCAACTATTAAATGACTAAAATCTCGACAAAACCTCCTTCTCATAATAATCTTCTTATGCTCACTAGTGACTGGCTTCAAGAGGTATTTCCTGGAGTTCTGGTGAGAAGCCTTTACCAGTGGAGTTCAACCGGGTCTGTTGTGAGGTAATAATTCACTGAAGACATTTATGGAGGGTGGCTCAGTTTCATAGATTGGTTAAGGTTAGACAGTAACACCATTGGATACCGGCCAGTTCAGCGGTCTAGAGATTAGACGTTCGTGCGCGAGACCGATAGGTTCTGGGTTCGTATCCTGCGGGTGGGTTTGTGGATGTGCACGGTTGAGGAGTCCCAATACTAGGACGAAACGGTCGTCCAGTGCTTTCAGGTTCTCATGATGATCTAACTTTAATTAACTCATGAATTCGACTATTTTAAAAATAATCTATCTACAAGTTTTTAAACAAACTATTGATTTGATCAGAGTATAAAAGGATAAAGAATAAAACCATATATATATTGATATAGTCCATGTAATCCGATAAGATATGAGCTGAGAACATGAAAAAAAAATCGATCAACTTATATCGGTCATTATATCACTATGATTACAGTTATAAATAGTAGCATATTTTATGGATATCATATTGTTCTGTTTTGTTTCCATAAAGTTTATTCCTATTCACAAATATTAGACAAAACGAAAATAGAACTGTTTAAAGATTAAGATTAGATACTTTGTTGACTTTGATTTCTCGCAGATACATTTAAGAGTTTAGTTCGTTTGGAGTATTAATATATATGTATTAATTAAGAAATGAACTGTTGAAGTCGCCGTAGGTATATGTAGTTCGACAACACTTTAACTAATAACACCTGCAATTGAATCATGTCCACCTAGTGAGATCAAAAGTCAGAAGTGAAGAGGTTGGAAGATATATGTGATAGGTTATTAATATATCGAGAAGTGATCGATCTAAACTGGTTAACAGTTGTAGAAGTTGAGCAAGGCGTATTCACTCCTGATCTGATGCGGATGTGTGACTGAGCGCCTTCAGCTAGGTGAATCCATTGAAACTAATGTCGTCATCATCAAATGTAGAGAAATTACAGAACTATTGATTTTGGGAATTTATTTACCGCTACACGTTTTTAAAAGTATAATTAGCATTGCCATTGAAGGTTATCTACTAACTCGTTTTGAATACAAATGATTGTTATAATTAAAAAATGTGATTAGCAGTGAAATACAGGATTGTTTGGGACATGTCAGCTGGATTAAAAATATGTCTCAAATTCCACTCTTAACTTTACTCCATCTATCCTACACTACCTTGTGTCATTTTAACTAATATTGAGGCAACTCCCACAGGATCCCCATATGTCAACAACGAGATAATTCGAAGCACTTCAAATTTAAATAAATGGTTTTGTTGTATTTTTATGGTTTCTATGGCTTATAAAAATCTTAATATGATATATTCGTATCGTTTATTCATTTCATGTCCCACCCCTCTGTATTCAGTATATGGTGAGAAATTAAACCAAAGAAACTACTTTGTGTTTTAGGATGTGACTTCTTTACAATAAATTCGGCAAACAATGAAGACAATTTTAAGTAGAAAGTTGGAACATTATATTTATACTTGGAAGGAGCCTATAGTTACTCTTGGCTTAACTTGAAAAATAAAGTGTGGTAATGATAATTTGTGTTCCAGTAAATGGGTGTTTCGAAAACAATGTATACCATACCTTTTTTTAGCTTATCTAGTTAAATCTTTTGAAGATACTCTATGTTTATTCAATAGTAAGCACATTTTTATATTAATACTAGTAACTTCAAAACAATCTATTATAATCTATATTTGAATCGTGCTATTAAACTTATCCAGTTAAATAAACTCAGTTGTCTCAAATGTTTACAATTCAGGGACAACATACGCTATAGCTATTGGAATGTTGATAGTGTAGTGAATGAACTCTCAGCATACATCACAGAAGTAGTAGACAGAAAACTTTGGAACTAGGTTTCGTGCTAGTTTTCATTTGTCAGTAGGGTGTAGCCATAATCTTGGGTGAATTAATGATACCTACAAGATTAAAATCAACTTTATCGAAAATCATTGACTGGACTCTTGTTTTCAACTGGTCCAAAGTTTGCTATTGGTTGCCCACAACCATCTAACAAATTACTATGGTGAACCTGATGTCAGGTCACTATGACTGGTATCCAATCTGTATCTTCATTGATTGATTTTGAATAACACTTAAGACTGCGAAGCCATTACATCGGTTGCTTTTCAGAGATCAATTATTTGTGTATACTATAGCAATAGACTAGAAAGTTGAAACTTTTCATTCCAGAAAATTAATATTTAATAGTACATTTATTTCTATAGTTGAGTTCATGGGTGAATTGAAGCCAGACTACCATGGAAAACCTGGAAGCACTGAACGGCCACTTCGCCCTATAGTGGGGCTCCTCAGCAGTGCGCATCCACAATCCCTCCTCGCGAGATTCGAACCCAGGATCTATCAGTCTCGAGCGCGAGCGCTTAACCACTAGAGTAGTGGGCCGGCCAGCATCCAACGGTGTTAGTGTCTAACTGCAACTCATTCATGAAATCCACGAAATTGAGCAACTACAATTTTCACAAAACCCCTTCTGATA